TTATTTATTATTTATTATTTATTATTTATTATTTATTATTTATTATTTATTATTTATTATTTATTTACTGCTGTTATTTCTGTATTATCATTATTTCGCACTTTGTTAAAATTTTCGTAAAATGTGGTTCTAATTTATTTCGTTTTTGCAAAATCTGAAGCTTGGCAAGAACTACATTTTGTAGACATGTATTTAAATCAGATGCACGATTTTTTGGCTTTGGAAAATTTTGGTGAAGGCCAATATTATTTTTAACTAGATTCTTGTTTCAAAAATGAGTAGGTACATAGAATCTTAACAAAATAGGTACACTGTTATCATTCCAAATATTTTGTTATCATAAAAGATTCAAAGTTTGGTTCACCAGAGATAAGTACTTTGAGGGCCTATAAAGCACCAAGGGAATTACTTAAACTCGAAACTTTGACAGTTTCACGTATTCTCAAAGGAACACAATAAAATTCAAATACAATTTGCAAGTCAAACTATTGTTTTCCAGCCAACAACAGTATTGAACTTCGATTACAATAATTCGGAATTTATTTATTCAGGAAATTTTGAGATCACTTGAAAATAAAATGAATATCACCATTTTTATCCAAACTCAACGTTAAATAAAATTGAACCAAATTACTCTCATTGTCACAAATTAACTCACTTGATGACTCATGTGTCAATTTTTCTTCACAACCATCTTTCGATTAAAATCCGACCTTCAAGTTGCAGATAGCACAACATCGTTGTAATAAGAATGTTGTCGACATGCACCGAGGGCGTTTAACGATCATAACTTTTAATTACTTTGTTGTCATGCAATTAATCTCGTGAGCGAAAAACTCACCTGATTAGTTTGGCAACGAACGTTGTTTGCGAAAAATTGGCAACGGGGCAAGGTCGTTAAATAACACAAATAAAAATACCGGACCAATTTTGGATTGGATTCGTATATGGTATGTTATTTCTCTACTTACAGACATATTTCACAGCTCTAGTAACTTTCTTTTGCGCTAAATAGAACGACAAGTGCTGTAATTTCACTCGGTGGCGCCGTATCGTGATTGTGTGGAATGTTAAGAGATACTGGAAAAGGTAATTGGAGATTGAAATTGACATTTGTCAGGAGTTGGTGACATGAGAATTGCCTGTTGCGAGCTGTTTATTGCCTTTTCGTAATCGAGGAAAAATCATGCTTGTTGATTCATATTTAATGATACAATTTTATTAAAAAAACATTGAGTATGTCTAAATTGAGAAGCTAAACTACAGGCTGTCTGAAAAGTCCCTTTGGGTAGTCCCTCTAATTCTATCTGTCAAAAATTTTTGCCATTTGACATTTTTTTAAGTCTATTGAGATTGATGATCTTGTGTATGTTTCTTTTATAATTATTTACTAATGGTACGAGAATTTTGTCAATAAAAGCCACAAATAACACTAAACTTCTCTTCTAATAGTCTGTAGCAAAAAAATATTTATTCAATCCTCTATGTTAAAATTGAATTTTATCTACTCTTTTCTTCATGTTAAAATGAAATTTTTTATCGTCTAGATGCTAAAAAATACATCCATTGTTGTATATCTGCGGTTATTAGTTGCTAACGATTTTTGACATTAGATTTCATTGTTGAATTTTACTTTGAGACATTTATAAATATCGACCAAATTGACTATAAAATTAGTGAGGATTGAATAAAATTTTTTTATTGAAAATGGACCTAAAACGATGATTTTTTTGGCATATTTTGGCAAAATTAGGTTGATTTAAGTGAGTGTCTAGCTCAGAAAAGTTCCTACTTGCACGAAAATTGGAATTGACATAAGAGAAATGTTTTCGAGTTGTTACCGAATAATTAAAGGCAGTAAATTTCATTTAATTTATTCATTATTTTTGTGTAAAATTTTAACAATTTTGATATTTAACAAAATACAATACGCGAATGTTTTTATGTTAAAAAGCAATTTTGAAATAATGAACTTGTAAGAATTTATTATTGAATCTCCCTAGAACCACCATCTCCACGTTCTCGTCTGTTAGGATCAGCTTCAGGAGCTGGTATATTGGGATTTTGATGTATCCTGAATTTGTCACCATATCTGGGTTCATGTTCTTGTAGCCATTTTGGCAAAAGCGGCTCTCTGAAGACAACAAAATATTAAATATCGAAATTAAATAAATATCGAAAAAAAGACTCACAGATTTTCTCCTGCAGGATCCACTATAACCCTTTCAACTGCAGCTACGTATTCCTCCATATTACCGAAATTAAACATATCTCTTGGTCGGTGCCGTGAAGACGGTGAATTTGCTAAAATTTCTTCTTTAACTTGCATAAAACACGAAAATTTTTATTATACCCAACGTCTCAAATAACTGCTCCCTCGCCAAATTGAGTCTGGTTTGGAAATCAATGTTCTCCTGGTCCAAGTGAACAGCTTTATCAAATGCCTTAACCGCGTCACGCCAATTTTTCAAATTAAAATGAGCCATTCCCAATACTCCATAAGCCTTACTAAATTTGGGATCAATGGTCAGGGCTTTTATGCAGTCTTGGATGGCTTCTTCGTTGTAGTTTAAATAGCAGCAGGCTAAAGCCCTTTTACACAAATATATTGGCTTTAATGGATGTAATTCTATGGCCCTGTAATCCATTACTCTGATTAAATGTTTTTATTTTTTATGATGAATTTAATTGCCGAAAACACATTTGTGACAAGTGAAAACTGATGGTTTGTCGCCTTATGTATTTTAATTTTTTTTTCAAAAATAAGTGAATTAAAAAAATAAGGTATTAGCACATTTTCAAAACTCGTTTAAGAATTGAATCTTTCGTTTTAGAAACAAACTTTAAGTTATTGTTGTATTACTTGCTGTGCATAGTACTGTTCCGCCTCTGAGAATTGTGAGTTTTGAATGGCTGCATCTCCCTTATTTTTATATAATCTTGCTGCACGAAGCTGGCCGATGTCTATCCCCTAGAAATAATAAGTGTTTAATTAGCCTAAAATAACTTTTGTCTAATTATTACTTCTTCTTGCAGACGAGCATATTCAAATAGGCCCATTTTTTGAAAATTTTTTGTGTCACAGTTTATTTCCAAAGGATTGAGTGATGACTTTCGTTCATCCGAAAGGTTATCACTTTTAATTTCGTCTTCTAGAAGGTCTACTATCTCTAAGATTATTTCTTCTTGAGAATTTGAATTGTCCATAGCGTCAAAGTAAATTTTGTCAAAAAGAAGGTTTCTAAAATTGTACAGGTCTGAAAATAGATTTTTTACTACATTATTCGGTTTTTAAATTAAAAAATTGCACTTACAAAGCGAAGAAAATTTTGACAATGTGAACTTTCAAAGAGACATTTTCAAAAATTGTTTAAATGTCAAAAGCATTGTTTACGTTGATTGCCAGATTATAGAGTGATGTTAGGAATTCTTAATACCACGGTATACAGGTTGTTTGGAAAAAACGTTAAAAGATTTGGGTAGGGGGGGGTAGTAGTGTGATTCGTCAGCTCAGGTCAGGTAATTAAAAAGTATCAATAACCTTTAAAATTATACAAAATCGATCATTGAATTGCGTGTAGCTACAAAAAATAATAGAACGAAGATGTATCAAAAATGTATTCTACAATACTCGGGGCTAAATATTGATTTGAACCTTAAATACTAAACATCTAAACAATTTGTGTGTCCAAAAAATAAAAATAATAATATAAATAAGAATGTTATCCAGACATTTTGCGGTCGTACTACTCCACTTTTGTGCACTCGTTCTTCTATAAAATATACAGGGTGAATATAAAGTATGAAACTAAGCGTTGTTTTTTTAATCATATGCCTCCCGAAAATAATAATTAATATAAATTAAAGTAATATAAAAAATATGATTGTATTTTCAGAACGAAATTTTGTTTTTTCTATCTCGGTGTCACAATGAGCATTTGATGATACTGTTTGGCTGTCACTGGCCATAGACTGTCATTTCTAAGTAAGAAATTGTTGCAGTTCAACGTGTTAAATTTAAGCAATTTTTGAGATATTTGGGTACCACATATGTCAAGTGTCAAAAATTTTAACTGTCAAATATAATAATAAAATCAGTTTAAAAAGCGTTGAATAGAGAAAATTCTGTAAAAAACGCGTGTTTTCAACACTTGTTTTTTAAAATACTATTGTTTTTGAGTTATGCGTTTTTTTTGGCAAAATTGTAATTAATGTAAAAAAAATGAAATAATTAAATATGAAGTAGATAGTTGTAATTCTTACATTATAACCTTCATGAGAAAAATAGTTTTATAGCGGGTTGCCATTTAAATAAATATAATATTTTGTATAAAACCCTATGTTTATCCTAACACTACCAAGACTATATGTAAATCTTCTCGCGTTAAACTTGAAATAATATAAAAAAAACATTTCTAAACCAAAACTTTTTTGAGCAAATAAAAAATGAGAATATTTTTTTAATGTTAAAAACGTAACTGACGACTTCTCGTCTTTAAAACTGTTAACAGCAAAAGTATTGTTTGAAAAACACTTTTAAAACACTAGAAGAACACTTTGAATTTTTAAAAAGATTAATAGATTATTTTTTGGATAAAAAACACACACTTGTTGAGACTTTTTTAATTTGTTATTTTTCAGATTTCATATTTCAAGGATAACAACGCAAGGAATCATAAAAAAATAATGAGACGTCTGCTTTGTACTGACAAAGATGAAATTATTGAATTTTTTGCAGAATAACAAAATAACTTCTATAACGAAGATGTAATAAGATGAATAATATTGAAATGTCAACTTACGTAAATAAACGATCTTAAATTGTTTTTATTACAGATAAGAATAAATATCATATATTTAGATTAATAGCAACTTTTCTTCTTTATGGCAATATAAAATTTCTTAAAACTGCGCGTTCTATTCTGACATTTTGCAGTCGTACTACTCCATTTGTATGCACTCATTCCTCCATAAAATATATAAAACCCAATGTTTATCCTAACACTACCAAGACTATATGTAAATCCTCTGGCGTTAAATTTTAAATATAGCGTAAAATCTTAAATATTTACTCTATCCAACAAAATTTAAATTGATCTAATTCTGRCTAAATAAAACTTTTTTAGTAACGCGAAACTATTTCATGAAGGTTTTTCGTTCCACTGCGCTGCTTCTACATGAATGCCGTCAAGAACGATTGTCAGCATTCAAAATTTAAGCCTCTTATATACCGTATATCCGTTTGTATCGTGAATGACACTGAAATATTCTATCCTTTGATACGTCTCGTTGCTGAGACATCAACAGAAAAAAAATACGGTGCCAACTAACAGCTTGCAAGATTGTAATTTGGTACAAAGGAATGAAAAAATAAAAAGAAATTTAATTTCAGGAGAGTGTAAATTACCTGCCTAACCTTTATTATATTCCTTTTAGTCATAGAGTTTGTGGAATTTTTCAGACAGACGCAATTTTTTAAGAGTAATAAAAAATTCAGAGCCAGTCTGAGTTTCAATTCATTTGTGAGGAACACAAGTAAGCTCTAAACCCGATTGGATCAAATACATATACCTATTCGAATAGTTTTCTTATTAAACAATAATTGCTATGACAAAAAATTGTTTGAGTCTTTTTTCTCTTCAAAGGTTAGATTTTGGGTTAAGTTTTTGGCCGTTCAGATCATGTATTCTTAAATTTATTTAGAGGAAACGACAGATATTGCAATGTTTTTTTGAAAAAATTACCAATTTGTGTCTCATGGTGTACAAAACATATAACAAACTAGCAAATTTAACAATAAATTAAAACTAAAAGAGTTAAAATGCCTACATGATAATAGTAATATGGAAATTGACAGTTGTTTTTGTTTTTTTGTTTTGTCTGAAAAAAATCTGTATTCATTTTTATGCTTAGTCTCCTATTGTAATTCGAGAGTTGACCCGACACTTAATTACGACACTTTAATTAATTAATTTGTTATATCTTTACTTCGGTAAATTTTGTGTACAAATATGATTGTTTCATGTATTAATCACTAACACATATTTATTATCTGTGTCATTAATTTGGCGAATTTGAGCCATGAAATATGTGTTAAGAAACCTTGTACAAGGATTTTCCTAATTCTAGAATACAAATGTTTAAAAAAATATTATTATAACTTTTTGTTTTCGAACGAAATTTTGAGGCTTTATTATATCTGGGTGTTTTTGGGTTGTCTATTGCAATCGAGGAGAGGTTTTATAAATTACTCCTCGAAGTTAACGAAGTGAATAAATAAATCTAATCACTATGAATGCTATGAAGGCTTTTTTATATTGTTGTGATGACATTTTTAAAAATAATAATTGTCTTGACTTTATTTTATTCGGTCATTGGATGTTATGTCAAATCTAACTGTAAAATTGTTGTTTTAATTTTTTTTTGGTATTTCTCTGGAAAAATTTGTTCCTAAAGGCCAGGTAGCCAGTTTAACACAATTTTAGTTATTTATTTATGCAGTTCGTTGAACCTACAAGTGTAGAATAAATAACATTTCAGTACTATTTTTATTATTTTCATGATTAATTACAAAAATTTGTAAACAAAATTTCACGATTTTAGCTTTTAAAACACTGATAAATATCGTCAAACTGTTTTCAATACGTAATAAGATTTGTGTTGTGTTTCTTTTTTGGCAGTTGTGTTGCTTGTTGTCACCTGGTACAATTTACCATAGCATTTTCATGCACCACGAACAATAGAGTAGGTCATACAACAAAACATTTGGACAAAATTTATAAACATGTGTATGACTCATGCGATTTATGCTTGAATAAGTCCACTAAACACAAGCCGTAAAATCCTGATGACATACTTCTTATTTTATCACCGAAAGAAAATTTAATCAAAAAATCGGACACTTTGATCTCATTTATTCCGTTCAAGCTGTCAGAAACGATCAATAATTTTAATCCTCGATTGGTTATGCAGGACATACAGCTGACCAATATGTCCACTGTGTCAAGGTGTCGCAACTTAATGAAATTCCTAATAAAGTCACTACACAAAGTAAACAATTAAGTTTTGTTTGCGAAACAACTTTAAGAAGATAATGCGGATTTCATTAGTCACTCTTCTGCCAACGTGAACTATTTTGAATTTCGACAGTAGGTGGCAAGGTTTCAATTCGTGGTCAATGTCAATGATTAAAACGCAAAACTGATTTTTGTTTAAATTTTTACCTTGAGACAGGTTGAAAAATCGTTAACTCAAATTATGGGTGATAAATGTCAACTGTTGTGTGTTAGTTTATGTTTTCTAATACCTACAAATCCCTGAAGAGATTAACTGGGTTTTGCCAGAGGCCCCACTTTTATTGTATGACAAATTGCACTCGTGAAAATTAATAGGCATAATTCTACTCTTTAGTTGTTTTGGGAAAATGTTTTTAAGTTAGTAGGAGACTGTTAACTCACTGGGTAACTGATGTGAATTTTATTATTTTGAGTCAATTTAGCAATTTCAGTATATTTGAAATGATTTCAGTGTATTAGAAAGATTTAAAAAAATATTTTTTGTAATGAAACTTTTATTTCATCGCCTTAAAATTTTTCGTCCATCTATCGCATGTCGCATAACAGCCGGCCGCGGAGTAGGGGTAAAGTGCAAGGCGCTCGGCAGAGGAGCCAAGGCCAATATGGCGGCGCCCATGGCTCGTATCAGCTGACCGTGTAGCATTTATATTCTTACTCATTCGTGCGGTATTTGTGTGTTTTGATCAGTGTATTGATGTATTGATGTGTAAAAAGTTTCACTTGCATCGTGGTTTCTTTAAACCATAGCAGTTTTTTTATTTTCAAATTCTAACATTAAACTACTTATCTAGATGAATATTCAAATTTTTTGAGTTGCTTTTAAGAATTTCCTTCATAATAAATTAATAAATAGTTCGGTTAATGGCCTGTCACGTTATGAAGGTTGCGTGAAACCAAGAAATTTGGGTACCATCAGCGACAATGAACAAAAAGTAGTATTTTTAATTCTTAGATTATAACCTTTCTCGATTTTTTTCTTATCGTAAGTTGCCATTAAAAAAATTATTAACATTTGTAGAATTAAAAAACAAAAAGAACGTCTAGAAAGTAAAACAAGTGTCTAAATAATTGTAGAAACAGAGTAGTTCTTGGGTCATTTTACGTCGTTTTCCATATTTCTCCAAGTTTTTTTTCACCGTTTCGTTTTATCAATGAACCACGTGTGTACGTCAAGACTTCCGAAACGATACCGAATCTTGCGTTGCTATGGAAACCCGCCGGAAAATCGATTTTCCCAACCTCCTCACCGTCGAGACTGATGATGGGGTTTCCCCCAACATCATCCATTACAAT